GTTCAGGGTTCAGGGTTCAGGGTGCAGGGTTTAAAAGTTTAGGTTGTAGATTTTAGGGCTCAGGCTTTAGGATTCAGGGTTCAGGGTCTAGGGTTCCGGGTTCAACGTTTGGGGCTTACAGGGCTCAGGGTTTAGGTCTCAGAGTTTGGGGCTCAAGATTTAGAGGTACCCTTTACGCAACCCTTGGGAAGAACCCTCTCCAGCCTGGTTGGCGGAGCCGCGCAGAAAAATCGTGCTGTCCCCTGCCAGAGTATCACGCTGTAACAGCCATGAGAATTAGACTGGGGCTCCTGTAAAGGGCTCCCCTCAAGTGACAATGATGGATATGATCAGGGTTTAGTGTAGGGGACGTAATCGTGAGAACGTTGTGAATGTTATTGTATATCCATAGGGAGGTACTGTTACTAATTATTCAGGCCCCTATGTTACTGTCTATGTTACAGATAAACCCGAAACGACATGGTTCCGAAAGTTTCTCCTAATGCGTGCACGATAAAGTCCCGATGTAAGCCCTATATTCCAATGTGTGGAGAGTAGCTCACAAGGGAACTGAGCCAAGAGAACGTGTTCGAGGAACTGACAAAAAGCAATTTCGCTGATTCCGGGCTCCTGATCTATGTTAATAGACTAGATAAGTTTCCTAGGTTATATAACGTCCTATATCGTAAAAACTAAATGATAAAACATATCATAATGCAAACTTATGGTCCATTATGTTTCGTATTACTATACTGTAATGTGCTGTGTGATGCTCAATTCTACCGTACTACATTATGTTGTACTACAATATGTTAAACAAAAAAGGCTGTAAGATATGATATGTCACTATATTGACCTGATCTGATACAATATGCTGTGGTATGATGCGAGATGACGTGATTTTGTAATGTCCCAGCCGGTGTTATACTATATTGTCCTATACTGTTGTATATTCTAGTGTACTATATTACATTGTCCAACGTTGTTGTATACTACATCCTACTATATGGTATTATCTAACCTTATATTATGTTCTGTCACACTATATTGCGCTATCCTGTAATATATACTATGATGTAATAGTGTATTAACGCTACATAATGCTAACTTATTGCGTCGCGTTATGTTATAGCAGACTAGACTATGCCATTCTATACCATTTGACATTAGAGTTATTATATGACATTATGTTTTACTTTTATATTGAAGCATCTTATGTTGTACTGTACCGAATTATGTCATATTACATATATTGTAAGCTATAACTTATTGTTTATGTATAATATCATGTTGTATTGAACCGTATTATGAATACTATATTATACCATATTGTGAACAGAATTATTTCATGGTATGCCGTACGAAAATACATGATATTCTATCTTGTTGAAGCTTCGTGACGTATAGTATGATGTTGTATGCATCTATACAGACAGATAGATAGATAGATAGATAGATAGATAGATGCATATGTATGTACACTTTCCCATAAATACTCGCGGAATTCATGTGCACGGCTCAAAACGCTTCCCCCCATACAATGGCGCTGTTCAGAAGGACGGCTAAAGGGCTTTCCCCCAAGCAGGCGGGATTCCGGAGGGCATGCTTTCCCCCAAGTACTGGCGGGATTTCATCCCTAACCATTGTCTTTAACCCGAACGTCAGAGCCCATAGTGACATAGTGTGTGCCATTGTTTGGGGCATAATTAAGCCCCTTCTAAGCCTAAGGAAGGATAAGCCCTAAACCTCCAAACCCTATTCCCATTTTCCAAAACGCAAAGGGGCCCTCGGGGCAGGCGCTGCAGACGCAAGCCTCGTGCGGAGGCGCGACAACGGCGAGGGCTTGAACAGCTCATGCCACGTGGAGGTTCAGTAGTAAGTCAGTATTAGCACTAACTTAACTGGGGTTATGACCCTAGTTGCTAAGTCCTATGAACCTTTCAGTACTGCCACTGCCACTGTGCTTCGGGGGGGCCGGGTGTGAGACGATGGCTTTGAGATTAGCGACATCGGTTTCGGGGGAACTAAAGGTTGCCCGTTTGGGATTGCTCAGAGCATATATGCGAAATACTACCCTGGCTTTTCAAAGGATCTAAAAGATCGTACCCCAAAATCAGTATCGCATGGTGTGGATAAAATAATGTTTTCTCGACTTGTCCGTACTGTATCTATATCATCCTTTCATGGCTTGGTAGGTTCAAGGCAGAAGATTCGTTATGGAGGTTTCCGAAAAGAAGGAACCACACTCTAGATTTCAACTTTGTTTTTGCAGTGCTACTACTGCGACTACTGCTGCTAATACTACTACCACTAC